AGAGACAAAAAAAAAAATTAAACATTAAAATGAGATGTATCTCGTTGCATTGTACAATTACCATTTTCTCTCTCTCTCTCTCTCTCTCTCTCTCTATATATATATATATATATAGTTCGTTTCAAATACAACATATCGCATTTGTACAACCAATGCAACTCAATAAATTGAGATATTTATGGAAATGATGATAGTTCATTTATTATGATTTGAATATTTATGGAAGATGAATATAGTTCATTAATTATGATCAATACTTTATATTATGAAACAATCAAAACTTCTATAAAATCACATATTAATCAAATGAAATGAACGGTTGAGATTGAGTTGTATTGATTGCACAAATGTCAAAGATTGTATAATAACCAACCTCTATATAGATATATACTCTTATATTTGAAAAAATGATCGATTGTTGGCTATTAATAGTTTATTTCTCAAGTAAGAAAGAGTGTGGCCGACGGCATTTAAATTTCAAAATCAAAACGAAAGATTTGGTTTATAGGATTTGTAACAATGATATGATTTGTATATGAAATATTATATATATATATATATATATATATATATAGGGAGAGAGAGAAGGTTTACTTTGCAAACCATGTCATTTGTATAAACTGTACAAACCTCATTCAATTAATCATAATTTTTCATTTTGTTCATTTTTTTGTAATTATGAGAGGTTGATTAATCATTTTTATTGTGTAGGGTGTTAATAATGGATATTATCATCTTCATTATTTTAATTTTAGACAAATACATGAAATAGTTTCATTAAAATTTCGTTAAGTAATATATGAAACAATTTCACAAAATTAAACAATTTAATGAATTTTTTTCATAAGATTAAACAATAAAATCGACGGATGAGGGTGGTTTGCATTTGATCGCTCCTCTCCCCCCCCCCCTCTCTCTCTCTCTATATATATATATATATGTGTGTGTGTGTGTGTGTGTGTGTGTGTGGAGGTTCAAACGAGAACCCCTGTGATTTACGAGAACAATCCAATAACCTCAAAAAAATTTAATTAATAAATTAACTTATATTAAATATAAATAAATTAATAAGAACAGTAATGTAATTAAGTAATTTTTATTTTATTTTAATTAATTATAAATTTTTTTTCTGGATTGATCACGTTCGTTTCCACTCTCTTCTCTTCTTTTCTGATAATTGTGTGATTGTGTAACCATAACCTATCGAAACCATGATCAATCGAGTGTAACCATAACCTATCGAAACCATGAGTAATCGTTATGATAAATGTGTGATTGTCTAAACCTAACCCATCAAAACCATGATCAAATTGAGTGCGCAAGTGATGTTATAATAGTGATATCACATAATTATCACACCCATATCATACCAAATCGTTTAATGGATTCCGTTCGTAATCGTTGTGATAAATGTGTGATTGTCTAATCCTAACCTATCGAAACYATGAGTAATCGTTGTGATAAATGTGTGATTGTCTAACCCTAACTGATCGAAACCATGATCAAATCGAGTGCGCTGTTATGATAGTAATATCACATGATTATCACACCCATATCACACCAAATCGTTTAGTGGATTTCGCCCGTAATCGTTGTGATAAATGTGTAATTGTCTACTCCTAATCGAATGAAAGCATGTTCAAAACGAGTAATTGTAACAGATACCTTCAATAAACTGTGTTTAATGGCTTCTTCTTGTTGTTCGATTCCTGCATGCAAACCTTACGGCTTCTTCTTGCTGATCGATTCGTGTTTGTTGTTTAATTTCCATACTTTACAGCTTCTTGATATTCGATTTCTCCTTGAAATCCTTTTGTTACCTTTCGTAATTGATACCTTATAATAGACGATAACTGTTGAATTAAACGAATAACTTTAATTTCCAGGATTATAACGTGATCGTGTTTAAAATTGTATGGTTTTGATTTCCATTATTACCCTTTCGAATATCAAATTTTTTTGGTTCGTTTAAATTTCAATTTTAGTTTCAAAAATCTTTTAATTTTAATTGTTATCACAATATGAGGTTAATAAGTTGTTATCGCGTTTTAGTAAATAATAGGGGTTCTCGTTTGATATATATATATATAGAGGCTGGTTCAAATACTAACCAAAACTATTGTGCAAACTATGTTAACCCGATCTTGATCGTTCATTTTCTCATCAAACAGTCCTTATTAAATGAGACTATAAAAATAATCATTTAATTAATATATTAATTGAGATGCCTATGAACAACGGTTCAGAGGGTACTTTTGTAAAAACATCGGATGAACACGGTGAACATTTATATGAACACGGTGAATGTTCATGGACATTACATGAATATGAACACCATGAACATCATGAACATAGAAATTACCTCATGATCAATTAGAGGGATCTTAAAAGATTTGTAACTCCTAAATAATTATTAGGGAGTTACATAAATGTCAAATTACAAAATGACCCTTGTATTCAATTTATAAGTTACATTTGAACATAAAGTAAAGAAAGAATGTGATTGATTGATGTTGATTAGTAAAGTTAACATAAAAAAATGGGTTAATATTTGAACCATCCTCTCTCGCTCGCTCTCTCTCTCTCTCTCTCTCTATATATATATATATATATAAAAGTGTATATGAGAGAGAGATAAGGTATTAGACTTTACTTTTATAGCATATTTTAATTTTTTAGTAGGAGTAAAAAACAAAGTTGTGAAAATATCAAGATACCCCATAAATTAACTTATATTAACTTTATCCGTAGAAAAACATGACCGAAATTGAATATGTCCATAATTAACAGGATAGAAAAGATTTATAGTAATTTTTAACATCACAAGACAAAAACCAAAAGCATAATTCACTCATATTTATAAAAGTAAGCCATCTTTTTTACTTCTGAAAATTGTTATTTTCATCTTTTTATGCTTTTAAAAGTACCATTTTCGTCCTCGTAGTTGCTTTTTCATTCCTATATCTTACAATTTATAACATCTTTATCCCTCATATTTAATTGACAAAATAACAATAATAAATTATAAACCACAACGACGATGATACTCTTCTGTTTTCGCCCGGGATCAACCACTTCTTGAATCTTGGCCAGGGATGATGAACCCAACTTCCTTTATATACAAAAATCACTATTCATTCCTGTAACTTCTATACAAAATAAGTCTTCCACATCCAAAACAAAAGGCAAATGTTCACTTGGGCGTGGGCTTTTGTCTCGTCTTACTAAACTCTACATCACCATTAAGAACCGAACCGATAAATCTTTCAACTTCCTCTGAAGTTATATCCCCCGCAAACGCTGCAAACTTTGATTTGCGTGGTTTGTAGGCTATCAAGAGCCGATCTGCTGTTTTGAACCCTGATTTGTCAAATGCGTATAAAAACCAAGACTGGGTTGAACCGTCCAAAAGACCATAAGAAACCGAATCCCTTGGACCCGAAGCTACATTCTGCCTCCTTACTAACGATTTCTGGGAAACCTGAACGCACACATGCAAATAAAAGATATCAACACATGGCAAACACCATTTTACATAGCACAAGTAAACTGTTGGCCAATAAAAACTAGCTGATAGACTAGATGATAATAAGTACATAGGACACTTACCGATGAGAGTATAGTACGAAGTTTTTCCCTTCCTTTGGAGGATCTGAAGACGCCAATTATGCAAACGGGTGTTTTTTCACCACAGATGGCGTCAAAATTTGCTGCTGTCAAGAGAGGCACTGCTTCTTTATCTGAATTACTCTGAGTTGATGCTATCTTCTTGTTCTTTTTCTCAAAACCATCAAGTAAGGAACTAAGATCCCTAATTGTCGATTTCGTATCTTTTACAGGGATCCCAGATTTAAGAATCTGCTTCTCTCCATTTGATAGCCAGCCAACAACTGCTGGAAGTGCATCAACACCTAGCTTTTTTGCTATCGGATCAGAAACATCTTGGACCTACGAGAACATATTATGGGGGAGATTAAATAGAAAGCGGCTCTCCAAGTGAACCATTTTGAAATTATTAGGCAGCTAGGTATCTGTAAGAGACTTAAATTTCTATCGAGTCCACATAAAAAGAAGCGAACCAAAAAGAGTTATCAACTTCTCCAACCATCTTCCTTTGTTTTCCGTCCGCAATGGATAGAAAAGTAGGTTTGTGACTTCCTTAAAAGCTCAAAGTTGTGGCCTACCAATAATTTCCACCATGGTTTTAAGTTGAATTAGAAGTTATTCAGCCAGCAGGAGTGAGTTGTTTTGAATTTTGAAATAGTTACAGTTTGTTTGTAAGAAACATCAAGCAGAAGGTCTGAGGTGTTAAATCACCCACAAAAAAGGAGAAAAGATAAGCCAGTCTAAGCTGGGAGATTACCTGTGTATCATAGAAGATAAAGCGCTTTCGGTACAAGCCACTAAGTGCACGCCATATAACCGGGGTGTCTTTTTTAGTAGAAAGAAGCATCGCTTTAGGCAAAGTTTCCACAGTCCCAAAGGTGGCCTCAAACTGGGCCAATGTGACACGTTTTGAGAACTTCGGTAGATGATCTTGAACAAACAACTTCAAATCTTTAACAGTTCCACCACCAGTGTACTCTAGCAATGAACCAGTTTCGCTTGCTTTGTATGAATAAACATAGAGTCTTGGTTTACTCCGGGGGAGAATACCAAGCTCCTTGCACAAAGCTGAATCTACTTCACAATTCACACTTCCAACCTGTAGATTTAGACAGCTTTAATACATAATCACATTCTAACGAAAAAATGTAAACTAAGTAACTGCATAATCACCTCTAATGCTCCTTTGAGTGAGCTAGCAACTTCCTCTGTGATGGATTCATAATGCTGTATCCCACTCATTGTTGGTTTATAAGATAATAAAAGCCAAGTGACCCCTTTATCAATTATCTCTTTCTTATACAGCTGAGAATTGATGGAGGTTAAGCTCTTAGGAGAACTCCCAGAACCTGAATTACCAAAACCTCCAAACTGACTCCCACCACTCATACCACCCCCAAAAAAGTTGGAGAAAACATCACCCAAATCAAAACCGAAAGAACTGTCGCTGCTACCTCCACCAAAGGAAAATGAATATGATTTTGAACTACCACCTTCACCACCCATTGTTTGCCATTCATCAGGCCTGAATGCAAACCTACTATGTCCTGGTCCACCACTTCTGAAGTATGAATGTCCGCCTTGTGCATCCCCGCCATCAAATCCAGGATTCCCTCGTGCATCCCCATACATATCATAATTCTTTCTCTTTTCTTCATCGGACAAAATATCATATGCTGACAAAAAGTAAAATCGCCATGTCAATGGCAGGGCAAACAGACAGAACCACACAAGATACATATAATCTTTGTTCAAATCTAAGCTAATAATGTTCATCCCGGAACTTAATATTTGAAAATCGAATTTCCTTCTTAATATTGGGGAGGGGAGAGGGAGAAGGAGAGGGAAGCATTCAACATACCGTTATTTATCTCAGCAAACTTCTCTTGGGCACCTTTGTTTTTGTTCTTATCAGGATGATATTGAAGAGAGAGTCTGCAATAAGCACAATGAGAGAAACATATAAATTGCAAGAAATTGGAAGAGTTCGGTATAGTATTCGTAACATATCGTTCTCCAAATGTAAAAGAAACCTCTGACCTTACTTTATATACATGCCATGTTTGATATTTTTGAATGAAATGTGTGATAGAATATAATGTTTGTATGCATAACGAATATATCATAATATGAAAAATAAAATAGTATCAAGTGCCTATTGATATGCAGCAAAACAACAACAGGGACTGTGGTATCCAAAATTAAAAAAAATTACATACTTGTGGAAAGCTTTCTGAATCTGCCTCTGACTTGCATCCTTTTCGACTCCTAGTACCTGGTTATTTTCAGTCAAGAAGCATGGAAAACAGTCAGCAAACTCAAGTCTACATTATTAGACACAATGTCTGAATACATATCTAGAAGTAGAAACTTTTATGATGCGAAATTTGCTTTCCTCCATACATATGTTGGTTATCAAGGGTGCGTTTGGTATGCAGGATAGGATATGACAAAAACATGGTGTCCCATGTTTGACGCAAAATTAGACCGGGAAAGGACGGGACCGAGTGGGACAAAAACCAAAAATAGGTGAAACAAAAATCAGGGAGATGGGATAAAATTGGTAATTTCCTACACTACCCATGTCAAACTAAAACCCTAAAACCTTCCACAATTATTTCACCCTTCGTCCCGTTTCAGTCCCATTGGCGTATCAGATTCAAATAACTAATTATATCATCTCAAGTTATTACAAACAAGACATGTGATATGGAAAACAAAATATTTTATCTCCTCATGCTCTATTTCTGTACACAGCACTCTATATATAAACCAAATCAAACAAAACTAGCCCAGTATATGCTACCAGAAGGAAACTAGCCCAGTATATGCTACCAGAAAGGGGGGGGGGGTATGGGCAGAAAGTAAAGCCATTGTTTCTATGAAAACCCCAGGCTTGCAAAAAGTGCGTGCGAATAAGATCTTTACTCGCTTTCTCTCTCTACATATATATGTAAACATACATCTACAACACAAGTAGTGAACTAATTTAACAGAATGCAACCATAATTAACAACCAACTAACCACTTAAGCTATTTACTGAACTATGCTTCGAACATCTAAAACTCTCCCTCAAGATGAGCTCAAAGAATGAAATCCTTTAGAGCCATCTTGGACATAAGTGGAAACAACATAGAATGAGGAATGGTTTAGTAACCATGTTAGCCAGCTGGAACTAAGTACGGATTGGCATCAATTTCATGGTGTTATCCACAAACTTCGAATAAAATGGCAACCAATTTCAATGTGCTCTGGCACGCTCATGAAAGGTGGGTTTTGAAGCAATCATCAATGCTGAATCATTATATCAAAGAAAAAAGTAGCAGGGAAAGAATGTTGACACCAAAGTCATGGAGCAATTGCTTCAAGCCTTCAACCATATTAGTTCACAGGCAGTATATGCCAATGCTCAATAATCAGCTTGCATGGATCATCTAGAAACCGTCGGTTGCTTCTTTTGTTCTCTAAGAAACCAACAACACCAAGGAAAACACAGAATCCCGTGACTGAACTACAAGAGTAACAAGTACCTCAATAGGAATCACCAAAGGCTCTTCTGTTTCTCAAGGTATCTTAGCAGATGATGTACAGCAGTAAGGTAAGGAACTCTGGGTCGAGAGACGCATTGACTAAGTTTGTTGACAAAGAAAGCAATGTCTTGTCAAAGGTTGTCAAGTACCTTAAGCGCCGTATGTAAGAAAACTCATGACATGTTCCATCTAAGAATAGAAATCGATGTCACGGACTCCACCACATGTACATTTTGTGGACGGAGATCCGCCAGCCAATTCCTGGCAAAGAGTTTTCAGTTTCATAAACTACGAACTGAGAGAATCTTGATATCGAGTCTGATTCATTAAATCTCGACGAATCTGGAGAACTTGAGGGGCATTCTCTGTCGAAACCGATGCTTGAGATCTTGGCTAGATCTCTTGAGCAGCATCAACATAAATAAGTGCAACCGCATCACAGAGTTCAGTATCCAAAAAATACCATGTTATTCTCACAAATCCATGAAATAAGTGCAACCGCATCAGAGTCGAATGCTTTGGTGAGAGAACCATTGATGAACCCTAGCTTACTCTTTATCAGAAAGTGCAATCAACATAGCACGACTCCAAGTTGTGTAGTTTTCTCCAATTAGAGGTTGCAACACAAGAATCATGTGTGGATTATCATAATGGTGAAGGGAATAGAGACCATTATGACCCTTGATTGTAGATGATGAAGGAGATTCAGAGTTAGGCATGGTGATTATAGATGATCGTCGAGGATCAGGTCAAGAAAAAATTCAGGTGGAAGACGTTCTTCAACGCTTCAATGCCATACTATAGAAAACGTAATATACAGGTAGTGAACTAATTTAACATAATATAACTACAATGAACAACTAACTAACCACTTAAGTTATTCACTAAACTACCGTCGGAAAATCTGAAACAAGTCAAATATCCAAACTTCTCTTTTCAACCTCCGGACGTGTTACATTGTTGGTGTACACAACCAGTTTGGACAAAAGAATGATTTTGTGTCCAAATCTGGTTCTAAGAAATTCAAATTACAAACTGTAAAACTTTCCTTGGTAATAGACAGTTGATTTATTTTCGACTACAAAACGACTCAAATTATATGAATGTGTACGTTAGAAACACTTACTTACGGCATCTAATAGTGATATCCTATAAAAAAATCTTCGTTACTGACGGTAAATGATCAATTATGAAAGATATAGCAAGGCCGGCTCGAGTGCAAGAGCTAAGTTAAACCAATCAAATAAAGATTTTTGGGAAGGAATTGGTAACTGGACAACATCTAGACATAAATATCAAATATCACAATTAGGAAAAGATAGCAAAAATTCTGAATTTAAGCATCCATCACTAACAGAGATAGCCCACACTCAGAAATCAAGGAAATGCCTACTCAGCTCAACGTATTGTGTTTAATTAAGACGTGCCCATATAAAGACATCATCTGCAATAGAATCCCAAACAATCTAGTGTAGGCTACATTTCACTCATGTATAACACAAACAACTAACCAAAAGGGTGGTGTTGAGCTTGGCTCCAAAGGTCAAAAGTACCGGAAGGTCCCAGGATCAAATCCAAGGAAGAATAAAAATGCCCTTGTGGCCATGGAGGTTAGACTCGGGATATCTGCAAAGCATGTGGTCATCTGGGATTAGTTGTCTCGCATGCCGGTTGGATATCCAGGTTAATAACAAAAAGAACTAAGACATAGTTTACCTAAAATCAGTCTCTATTTAAGCATATCTACCCTTCTATCTGCAATCCAAAATTTCAAGCTTCATCTAGCTTGGATCAAGTAGGTAAACCCAAATCAGAAACCCCAATTTAGGATCAATTTATTAGTTCGCAGCCCAAATTGGTATCTCATCGTAAAATCTAAGTCAGAAACTACACTTCAGAATCAATGTTCTTACAAAATACAACTTAGAACCCAAAACACAAATAACCCTCTCGAAAATCACGCTTTCATGCTACTAATCAGAACAAGATCATGCCGCTTTGTATAAGAAAACGACAAATATATATTTGATGCATCAATCTGAAGGAGAAAAACCTAGGCCCAATTGAACACAGGAGGAATTGGTAGAAAGATAGGAAATTACCTTATAAGGGTCGAGAGATTTTGATTCTACAGAGACGTAGACCAGCAAGAACAAACATATGAAGAATATCGATATGCTATAACTGTTCTTCATTCTTCTTTCAAGAAAAAAAAAACTCAAATCCAAACCCCCCCAAGAAGTGTGTTATTAGCGTTCACAAGAGGATCAATGTGACAAAATCCGTTCTAAAACTTATTTGCTGTTGGAATTATGGAGCGTGTTGGCGTTACAATATATAGCTTCGTAGTTGGGAAGAAGGCTCGAGAGGGTTCCAAGCCGTTGAAGGGGAAGGAAACGTGGCGTTCGTATATTGTTCCACGAATATCGACCAATAGAAATTCAGGGTTTGGTACCAGTGACATCATCAATTGGTAGAAATCCAGGATAATTTCGGTCTTTAATATCTGGGTTAATTTGGTCATTTTTCTATTACCTAAACAATATGATACATATATAATATTTTACATAAAAACGATTAAAACCGCAAAAAAAAAATCATATTAAAATGGATTATATATATTACCTTATAAATGAGATTTGGTAAAAGTCTTAAAAACAAGTTTTGATGTATAAGGTATTATCTTTTTATGCATCAAGTCTTAAAAGTCTAAAAACAAGTTTTAATGCATAAGATATTACAGTTTTATGCACTGAATCTTAAAAGTCTTAAAAACAAGTTTTGATGTACAAAGTACTACCTTTTTATACATTAAGTAAAGTCTTAAAAACAATGATTTATGTCTAATGTATAAGTGTCTAATGCTACCTTCACACTCCTCTAAAAGAAAATTATCTTTCCAAGACAAGCTTGTGAAGAAGATTATCTTCCCCAAGAGAAGCTCTCGTCGCTCCATACACTGTCATCGAGATGCTTCAGAAATTCGATTCAGAAATTGACGATTCATGCTCCCGATTACTTATTCAAGATCACCGTGTAATCTCTCCACACACTCTCATTGATTCCCTCCTAAAGTGACGATTCAGAAGTTGCCGATTCGATATCATGTACGATGATTACTTATTCAAGATCACCATACATCGATTCGCTCTCGATCCATGCTTCAAATATGGCTAGGGTTCCAATCCAGGTAATATTTTTGTTTTYCATCTTCATTTGATTGGTTAGGGTTTTTGATTTTTCTATGGGTTAGCACTCGAAACGGTTAGGGTTCTTGAGGTTTCTATGGGTTTGTATCTTGAGTTTTTAGATGAATTTAGTGTGGGCTTATTTGTTCTCCATGATGGGTTCTTGCCCAAAACTTTGTGGATCAATTGGGGATACACCCTCCTTTGTTTATTGGTTTTACATCTTGAATCTTGATCTTCAACAAGTTCCTCCTTTTTTACTTTTTCATTTTTATCACCGATTTTGACTGGTATCGTCTAGACCTAAAGGGCCTTTTGTATTGCATAAACAAATCAGCTTATATCAGCCAATTTGAATATATGTGTTTTCATCTAAATAACCTTTTCCCTAGCCGATTTCAACCTCTTGTTTTCTGGGTGTTGGCTAATTTTGAATTTAGCTAACTGGATCAATGGATGTTAACCAATCCAAAAGTTACCCATYTGGGGGTTCAYCAAATTTTGACCTTCAGCATCATTGATTTAACYATTTCAAGAAAATTTGAAATTACCTCTGTATCTAGCATTAAGATTTCTATCAATATYTGACGGGGGTTGCAATTTTAATCAATTCGCAGATAAGGAGGTCATCATACCACGATGTAATCAGAGTATCCGAGATTCAAAAATTTGGACATCAGTTTAGTACAAACTTGCATTACCYAACACAAAAGTTGTGTTCTTGAACGAACRACCACGACTGAGGCCTGGCAAAGGTGTTACCAATATATGCGRAGTCGAAGCCTTTTTGATTCATTMTGATGCTCTCTTGGTTGCAAGGTAAATCTGATCAATTTATAACTTGCTTTAATTATTGGAAAATGCTCACTTGCTTCTCTAWTTGCGCAGGTTTTGCACAGGGATGCAATATTGAAAGAGTGGTTGGTATGTAGTAGATTACAATAGGGTATGAGCATAGTAATGTTGTTGGTAAGAGTCACCACCATCATTTTCGAATTTTCTACAATATGAAAGGCTTGAAACCAAAGTAATATTTTAACATGATACCAATCTTAAATTTTAGTCGATTAAAGATCATAGAATTATACATGTTTAGCTAGATTTTAACATTCCAGGATGTATGCATTTTACTGAAGAAGGATGTTTTGGGTACTTGATATTTGTATCACCGTCAATTGATGGCCATGAGAGTTGTTAGTGAAGATGGCAGATGGTCCTTGCGGAACCAATATTTGAGGATATGAATAAGCAAAGTTGATATGTCCTTGTGGAACTGATCTTTGCTAACCGCTTTCATGCTATTTTGATGATATTTTGCTAAAATTCACCTTTTGTTTTGAATGTCATGTCTTTGCTGCTCCTGTTTGCTTTGCTTTTTTTATATCGACGTCATCGAAGGTACATGAAGTTAGTTAACATATATATGTTATCTTATAAAGCATCGGAGGTGCATGAAGTTTGGTTTCATTTATTTTCCCATTTTAGAAAACTTACTTATTCACATGTCCTTTCGATTCTTAATCTTCCAGAATGTGAAATGGCAAGATATCGATCTAAAAAATTGAACCTTTTAAGTTCGATTAGAACATATTTCTTTGACTGCAGATGGCGGATCCTTTGACTGCGTTGATTCATGCAGTTCAAGTGATGAACTTACTGAAAACCCTTGTCATGAAAACTCTGAATGAACCCGTAAGTGCTTTTTGCCTAATCTTGCTGGAAAATTATACATGATCTTGTATTGTCAGACCCTATTTTGGAATGGGACATACTGCGTATGTTGTTTGGTTTTTAAGGGAAGTGATTATTTGTTAAATATCTATACCCTTCAACAAAGACAAAACAAGTAATATTGTAGACCAAATCAATACTATCAATTTATTTGTAGCGATAATAGTGAGCAAATAGGTAACTTGCATGGATTCCCACATCAAATCTTTCTAATTCATTATTTCTTACAGATCTTTGTCAATCTTTAATGATAACTTTCTTGGATTCCCACATCAAAATTCTTCATGGGATCGATGTCATTGGTGAATATAAGGGTATTTATATAATCATTTGTTGTTTCTCTCTTATCAAATCGTTGGTGTGTTTTTTTATTATTGTTTGTGTACTATAATTAATCATTGTTTACTTTTGTATTTTGTTATTCCACTAGGCCAATGATATGTTGGAAATTAACTGGTTCTATGTATTGTTCACCTCAGATGGGAAACAAGTTTTCAGCATGGAGGATTCTAACGTTTACATGTGGAATTGGAACCTTCGGTTTATCAACAAAAGATGGTTCTGTAATTCAAGTGCATCTCGACTCACACTGCAGTTGTGTTACCTAGGTTTGTTATGAAAGTTAATACTAGACGGTTAGGATTATATGGTTTTTATCTATGGCATGTACAGTAGATGGAATCCTGCATAGAAGGTGTTCTTCATTATATAATCCAAATGTAGCCATGGATGTGATAGAGTCAATATGGTTTTATTCTGAGTTGTGTTGTGGGTAAATCTTTTGCAATGCTTATCATTATTTCTATGTAATTGTTCTTATTTAAACAACTTTATGATTAATGAAATTTATAGTTTTCATTCTCTCCAATTTATTGTCTCTTTAACATAATTAGTTTATATTGGATTGATGTTGTAATTAGATTATAGTTTGCTTTATTTGATTTTATGCACCATCACACAATTTTTGATTGATGTTGTAATTAGAACCATAACCATTATTTATTGAAAAAGTATCAAGTTGTAAAGACTGATTGCAAATCCTATATTCGTAATGTCTACTTAAAAAACCGCCAAGTTTCAAAATCATTTACACTCACCACTCCCGCTGCATTACGCGGGTACACAACTAGTCATATATATATATAATTGTTTTTTAATATAATTTATTCGATTAAAATATTAATAAATTTAAAAAAAAATCAATTTAAAAATAAGGATTAAATGCATGAAATAACAACATACTTTCATAAATTTTTTTATTATAGCATTTTACTGTTATTTTTTTTATTACAGCAACGTAATTGCAAATTATTTTTTATTAAGGCATCGTACTTTGAAAAATTTACTCATAATAGCAATGGGCAACCTGTTACCTTTTAAACCGGTTAACCCCTTGATTTTTTTTGCTTGTATGGCTTTAATGAGGTGATGTAGATGCCACATCATTTTGATAACTTAATTAAAATAAAAACAAAAACTTATTTCAAGTTATTATTAGAGATTTTCATTTTTCATTGCTATTATCTAAAAAAACATTTAATTGTTTTTGACTTTTTCATTAAGTTGCATGCAAATTAAATATTTTAGACTAAAATATTTCCTAATTAAATATGAAATATTATATTTGAGATATATTTTGTTTGTAAAAAAAGTAACACTTCTTATTTTATGTTGTTCAAATAAATACATATCTTTTAAAGTTCTCTTTAAAATGTTAACGAAATAAATTGTGATCTACAATTTTTTAATATCGTTATATTAATAAATTATTCAAAAAAATCTAATTAATTTAATATATTCATACGTTATGTAAAAGTTTTTGAACAAATATAATATATTCTTTAAAAGATAATATTTTTTGGTAAAAAAAAACAATTCTTATTTTTCTTTTTTCAAAAAAACACATATTTTTTAAAAAATATTAGTGAAATAAGTTGTGTTCTACTAGTTATATTGATATTGGTATATTAATAAATAATTCAGAATTTTTTAATTCATTTAATATATTTATTAAATAACATGTAAAATATCTAAATATTAAAATTAAAAATACAGTGTTTAATAAGAACTAGTAAATGTTATAATAAAATAATTTTGAAAGTATAATGATGTAGTAAAAAAGTCACATCACTATAGTACATGTGGACAGCTTACGTGGACAATGAGCTGACATGGAAACATGATATAATGGGTGAATTTAAATCAAAAGGTTACTCAATGTTATAATGGGTAAATTTTTCAAAGTACAATGTACTAAAAAAATAGTTTAAAAGTAC